GAGAGAGAGAGAGAGAGAGAGAGAGAGAGAGAGAGAGAGAGAGAGAGGAGGGAGGTAAAGGGAGGGAGAGGTATGAAAGGTCGCGCCGTCCCTTCTCCTTACAGCCGCGGGCTCGTGCGGGCCGCTCCCACTTTGTCCACGGTGACGCCAATAAAAAACGAGCACTACGTATGTTGCACTTTGGGGAGAATGAGCGGCGTGGGTCGCGGTTGGGGGATTGGAGAGAGAGGAGGGGAAGTGGACAAGGGCGCACGCGCACGGCCGACCGGAAATTGCCCCTCCCCTCCCTCCATAGCGGGGGGAAGTTTCCCCCCGGACAGCCGGGCCGGCCGCTTCGTACGTCCCGCCACCGCGTCCCGGCGGTCCTGTCAGGACTTATTATTTTCGGGGGTCGATTTCCAATCATCGGGTAGTGCACAGACATAGAGAGGGGAGGGGGGGCGCCCGCCGCAAAGCCCTCAAACTTTTTTCGTTTTCAGTTTGCGAGAAAGTAAAAGTACAGCGGACGCGCCCCGCGCGAGAGACGATCGCGCGGAGGGTGTAGATTGGAGGGAAGGGGGGCCGGCCGGGGCGGGCGGGCAGACGGACAGCGGAGAGGGCCAAGTTCAAGGCTGACGCTCATTGCCTGTACTTAGGCCTGAGCCGGCCTGCTGGCGTATCTCACGCTGGGCGGTGGGTACCTCTCTCTCTCTCTCTCTCGCTCTATGTCTCTCCTTTCCACTCTCCCACTTTCTCTCTTTTTCTCTCCCTCTCTCGCAGACACAAACGAGATAACGTCTGCCGAACGAGGCGACAAGAAGATCCCGCGGTACATTCCGCTCCGTGGCACCTTCCGACCCATGTTAAGTCCGTATTTCTGTTCCCGCGCCATTCACCACTCGATAACAAAAACACACAGACAAAAAAAAGCAACTAAAACTCCCCCCATGAAAAAAAAAAAAAAACACTTTGGGACGAGAAGCAAATTGGTAGAGGCGGTTGGAGGGAGGCGGCCCCATTCGGTCCCATCTCTCCCCAGCGCCCAGCGGGCGGGCCGGCCTGGCCCAGCGAGCCACGGGCTTAGACACAATTAAGCACAGCGGAAAGTAATGGAGGAGGTGTTGACGCCATTAGGATGAGGGACCGCCGGGGCGTCCCGTCCCTGTCCTGCGACCCCGGCCCTGCTCTGGCGCTGCTGCACCTCGGCCTCCTCCAAGGGCACTGACTGCTGTGTATACTCACTCCCTTTCCGGCTCCTCGCCATGCTGCTGCTGTCGTCCCGGTCGTCGTCCCCTTAGCCGCGCCGCCGGCACGCCACGAAGCGGACCCCCATGAGCTGCTCCACGATTCACCCTGCAATACGACGGCCTCTTTAGTGGCTGCTGTGGCCCAGGGCCCTCCCGCAGGCTCCTTATCTCACCATCCACCTCACTCTTTCTTTCTCTCTCCGTCTCTCACTCTCACTCTCTCTCTCACACACACACGCACATACACACACTTATGGTGCACGTAGAGTGTAGTCAAAGGGATTCACCAAAGAAGCCTCGACCCTGCCCACGCAGGTCTCCACGCCCAAAGAAGAAAAATAACTATGTCGCTAGCTTTTCATTATTTTTAATAACTACATAACACTTTGACTTTGCCCTATTTCTCTATTTCTTTCTAAAAGCTCTAGATAAAAATTGTTTAAAGTTGACTATTTCAACCAAAAATTAAATATCCCACCCTATCGCAAAATACACAAACAGCGTTCCCTAATTCGACAAGTGCGGTTTGGCCGAGGTTTAAACCCTTCCGGGCCGGCCCCGAAAAGGAGGCAATACCAAACAGGGTTTAGCCTCCTCCGCTCGCGGCCCCGCCGCCCCACCTGCAGGCGAGCGCCGCGCCCCTCCGTGTTTGCCGAGCGCACAGATGCTTCGGCAAACAGTCAATAGATAAAGGGGAAAGAGGGGCCGCTAATTTGGCCATCGCAAAGTGAAACCGGCGAAAAACTCGAGAGCGCCGCTTATTGGCTTTAATAATACCGTCAGCAGGATGGAATAAAGCCGAAATTGCATTGTATTTCCCAGACGGAATATAATATAGACAACATCATCATCGCATCCCATCATGGAGGCTAGATCAGGAAAGGTAAGAGCGCCCCATTTTGCGCAGAGCGTTCTCTCTCTCTCTCTCTCTCTCTCCCCCCCCCCCTTTTCACTCTGGTAGCACCCGCGCGCCCAGTCGGATTATTTATAAACGCGGTATCGATGCGTGTAAATACGACCGACCATGTCGGGGCCACGCGGCGGCCACACGGGCGCGTATACGCCGTATACGTGCGCGGGCCATACGGAATAAACTCGTGAATAAAATAAAGTAATCCAACCGATGAATTGTGAATGGCAAGGGCAGCTGGCCAGAGGCCGAGCAGCAGCAACGCCGCCATGTTCACGCGCGGCCTCCCGCGCGGACCGGCACCGCTACGTATCAACTCCGCTCGGTATCCCTGCGCCAGCGATCTCCCTCTTTCCCCCCCTTCTCTTTCAATGCCCCCCTTGCCCTCTCCACACACACTAGGGCTAGGGCCTAAGTGCGAGGACCCGGTTGCAGAGCAAGGGGCCGTTTGGGACCATTTCCACCATTGTGCCCGCCCGGGGCACACAGACGGCAGATTAGAGAGGTACAGAGCTCACCTCTTTTGCCAAGCCAGCGCACTCTTGGATTCTGCAGAAAATGCCAAAAGAAAAGAGAGAGGATGGGGAGGAAAAAAAAACTTGCCCCTTGGCGTACCTTTGACCCTCCCCCTACTCTCTCTCTCTCTCCCTCTTTCTCTCTCTCCTGACGAGGAGTGGACGCACAGTGGCGGATTAGCATTTCAATTCCGAGGGCCCATTCAGCGAGGCAGCTGGGCGAGTCCTCTACGCCCCCCTCTCAGCCCCCCC